ATTTCCTATGGTGCTGGTTTTTACAAAGCAAACAAAAACTCAGTAAGGGAAGAAACAAATCAGATTTAAACTAAAAGACCATGATGTTTTGGGGCCATTGTCTTCTGAAATTTGTGAGCAGACACAGAAAACTAAGAAAAAGAGGAGATGAGAGGACGATTTTAAAAAAACAAACCAAATTCACTGTGTATAACTGTATGGAAAGATTATTCATTAATTTCACTTTTTGATGTAAGCAATAATAACTCCTTGTCTTGATTCTGGCATGTTTTATCATTTATATTAATAGCTGAAATCTAAATATTTTCCTGGATTGAGACTTTACTCTCTATATATATTTATCCAGGGGTCTTTATAAAATTTTTTGAGATACATAAAACTCAAGAAACATGGGCAGCACCTGTAGCTCAGTGGGTAGGGTGCCAGCGCCATATACTGAGGGTGGTGGGTTCAAACCCGACCTCGGCCAAACTGCAACAGAAAGATGGCCAGGTGTTGTGGTGGGCACCTATAGTCCCAGCTACTTGGGAGGCTGAGAATCACCTAAGCCAGGAGTTGGAGGTTGCTGTGAGCTATGACGCCATGGTACTCTATCAAGGGCAATAAAGTGAGACTGTCCCTACAAAAAAAAAAAAAAAATCAAGTAACATAAAATCTATGTGGACAGAAACAAATGAAGGCCTCTGAGCAAAAGGAATAAGCTGAGCAAGTTGAAACTTACACGGTGAATCAGGACACTGTCAACTGTGTTTCTTGGAAGTGAAATAATGGACTATAACAGTCTGTCTCATGTGTGCACACAAAGAGTGCCCCCCCCCAAAGTATACACATTTTAAGAAAGGAGAAAACTGTTATTAAATTTGTAATACTAAAGTCACATTTGATTTCTGCAATTATAACATGACTTTTATTCTTTTGTTATTAGTATATATTATAGTTTTTTCCTTTCTTAAAATGTGTTTTTCCTTTCTTAAAATGTGTTTTTTATATATATATTTATACACACACACACACACATTGTTTTTGGCATTGTGTGTGTGTAAATTTGAGGTAAATACTTCCAAATAGAACATATTCACCTGGAATATGAAACAGAAGAGAAACTTCTGGTCCCCCAATGCTCCCACAATGTTTTGGAGGAAGCATGGTGGTAAGATCCTAATCTGTATTCCCAAACACTTGAAAATTTAAATTCACAGTCATTAAGCTCTACAGAGTCCTTATGTTTTTATATGTTACTTTTCTAGTCCGCTGACTTTCCTCAAATTTTTAACATTTTCACCTTCTCTCTCAGCTGATACCCTTGCTTCCTACTTCACTGAGAAAGCTGAGGCCATCAGAAGAACTTGAACATCTACTCACCTAACCAGACTCTGTCCCCGTATCTTCTACCTTTGCTCCTACTAAAGGGATATGCTATATATTCTTGGCCCATCTCTTGGTTTATGTACTAGAAACCATCTCTCTCACTTAGCCAAAGGATATGACTCCAATAATTCTGCCCCCTTATCACTGTATCTGTACTGAATCCTTCTCAAAAGCATATGAATATGCTGTTATTTTTCCTAATGTCCCCAAACTGTCCTTTTCATGGTCTTCCCCATTTCAGTAAATGGCAATTCCATCCTACCAGTTGTTCAGACCAAATGCTTTGGTATGATTTTTTTTACTCTACTCACACCCTATTTCCACGCCATTGGCTGGAAGTTCTTCCTCAAACCCAACCTCTTCTCACTACCGCCACTGCTACCAACCTGAGCAAAACCACCCCCATCTTTTGTCTAGACTCCTGCATGTGTTGTTCTGCTTCCATTATTGCTCCCCTACCTGTCTCACCCTTTTTATTCTCAGCACCACAGTCAGAGGGATCCTGTGAAAACATTTATCATTGAATGAATTAACAACTTATTTATAATTTTTGTTTTTTGTGACAGAGTCTTACTTTGTTGTCCTCAGTAGAGTGCTATGGCATCATAGCTCATAGCAACCTCGAACTCTTGGGCTCAAGTAATCTTCCTGCCTCAGACTCCTGAGTAGCAGAGACTGCAGGCCCTCATAACAATACCTAGCTATTTTGAGAAAAGGGGTCTTGCTCTTGTTCAGGCTGGTCTCCAACTCCTAAGCTCAAGTGATCTACTTGTCTTGGCCTCTCAGAGTGCTAAGATAATAGACACGAGCCACTGTGCCAGGCCTTATTCATAATTCTAAAAACACTTTTAAACCAATTTTGTTTTCTTTTTTTCAAAAGAAATTGAAAAGTTTTCTTCTTCAAAATCTTTGCCAAAAGAAAAAGTTAAAAAAAAAAAAATAGAGAACATCAAATGCATTCCCATAAATAATTTTACTTAACTTTTAATAAAGCCTTTTTCTCACCCAAGGGGAAGATAGCCAAAAAGGGAACAAGTCTCCATAATGCTAGTCCCTTAGGTAAAACAAGGATAGCTGAATGCAACAGTCTAGTCTGTGCTCCTTACTCTGACCACCCTCTCCCTACCATTAATACTTTTTCAAGCTCCCCTGATCGACTCTTGCTAGTAAAAAACATTCCTTAATCACCATGCTCCTCTAGCTTTGGGATCTTTCTGATTTGGTCACTTGCATTCCAAAATATAGGAAAGGCTGAATCATTGTTCCAGGGAGACTTCTCAAGTATTATAAAAATTAAAAAAAAATAACTTTCATTGCGTTGTAATTATCAGCATGATGACTTGGAACCTCAAGCCCACTGAACAGATAGACACAAAAGGATTTTGAAACATATATCATTTCTGAAATCCTCAATTTCATTTGTGTTTTTTATGCTGAACACCTTGCTCTAAATCTCTGAATGACAAAGTTTGAGAGCCCTGCAGAAAATAAAAAAGATTTGGTGAAAAGATTTAAACAGTCTCTTAATAGGACTAATATCCATTCAACTTTAGGGATTTCAAATGTAAATAAACTCTAGAATCCTGGACTCATAAAAAAGATTACGCCTTCCAAGTCTTCCCTATCTCTGTAAATGGCAACTGCATGCTTTCTTCACTGCATGCTTTGGCCTTTTGAAGGCCAAAACCTTCAAAGTCATCCTTGAATGCTCTTTCCAAGGATTACCACCGTGTCACCTTTAACACCGTCAAACTTTTTCCGAAATATTCCCGTATCAACGAGGCCTTTCCTGAGCTACCTATTTAGAAGAGTAAACTACCTCCAACACAGCCACTTCCATCTTCCCTGCCCGACTGCTCTCAAAGCACTGGCGTATTACAAAACTTCATATTTGCCTTATTTTGCTTGTTTACTAGTTTACTGACTGTCCCTTTCCACCAGAACATAAGCTCCACAGTCAAGAGATTTTGTCTTTTCCAAAAGACAAAGTTCGAATCTCCAGTTCAATCAACTGAATCAATTTCAATCTTAGAATCTCCAATTAGAACTTGTGACAAATGGGGACAGGCAAGGTGGCTCACACCTGTAATCCTAGCACTCTGGGAGGCCAAGGCAGGTGGAATACCCAGAGCTCACAGGTTAGAGACCAGCCTGAGCAAGAGCAAGACCCCATCTCTAAAAAAATAGCCGGGTGTTGTGTGTGTGGGGGTGCCTGTAGTTACAGTTACTTGGGAGGCTGAGGGGAGGGAACTGTTTGAGCCCAAGAGATGGCAGTTGCTGTGAGCTATGACGCCACAGTACTCTACTGAGAGTGATAACATGGGACTCTGTCTCAAAAATAAATTAAATAAATATATAAATAATGGGAATGACTAAGTAACCTGCACAACATTTATTTCAGGAAAAGCAATCACTTAACCCTTATATTATTCATGTATTCCTCCTAACAAACTGTACAAGGACAAAAACATCCTCTCTGACGCATACTGATGATAACACTTAGGTGTAAATTTCGGAAGCAATGAAACAGGTCTTAGCACCTGCTCAGCACTTTTAAGCATACAAAATACAGCTCATTCTTTAATTCTATTAACATAAAACTAGGAATCATTTTGAGAATTCTAGGCAGCAGGTGGCATCATGGTTTTACATTATATAGATAGGTTCCTTTTAAATTCACCTATAAAACAATCAGATTTTACCATTACAGTTATAGGGTTCCCTATTATTTTCAGCTACCAGCATTAATGAGGCCATGACCTTGACTAATCTTACTGGAAACACAATCTTTCCAGTGATATCTTAACATTTTGAATTTCAAACAGAAGCTTAAACAACTTTTTCTGAACGATTAAAATATTTCAGAATATTTTTCGTTCAGAAAAGTCAAGTGCCAGTCAAGTGCCTTATAAAAGAAACATCTCTGTCTGAAAATTTTTATTAGCACTCACATGGCCACCAAACATATTCTCAGATGCAAACAAAACTGAAGTTTAAGAAGCGTGAAAAGAGTAAATGAAACAATTATACTGGTATTAACCAACAACTAACGAGAAGAAAGGGCCACTGATATTCAAGGAAAGAAAACTGTCAGGTCTTGAGAGCGTTATCAGAACTCTTTCTCAACATTAGAGTACAACAAAAGTCTGTACAAAGGTCGCAATTTTCTGTAGCTTTGCAGGAGAAAAAAGCCCACCCTCAAACAAAACCCAATACCAATACTCGAGAAAGTGAATACCGTCATGATTTTAAAATTCTCAGTTTGCTTCGCATGGCCAACTAGTTTACAAGAGCAAAAATAGAGAGCTAAAACTAGTCTGTTCCACTCCATTCCCATGATCCCTACGTCACTAAGTTCTTAGGCAACTTCGTGCAACTGGGGGGAAAGAAATTCAGGAGCAATGAAAACAACGGAAAGTGCACACGCAGCCAACCGCTCACGTTCTAACAATAGCGACGCGAATCTGTGCTCAGGTTGCTCGATCTCCAGAGCGGCAGGATTCTAGCCGTGGTTGAGTTTTTCCACAGTCTAAGGACACGGACACGGTCTGCCTGGTTTCTGTCACTCTCTCACGTCCATGACCTCCCTCACCCCAACGCCCCCGAAAGCACTGGCCAGCGTGCCCGCTCACCGTCACTGCACTTATACTGGCAGAGCCCGTCCTCCCCTCCTAGAAGGTCTAAGGCGGCGTTCAGGTAGGTGTCTATCTTATGGACGCCGTTCCGGATGGTCTTCAGGGTGGCCCTCCAGTCGGTGGTCTGGGCCTGCTCCTGGCATCTGACCCCGGCGGCCAGCAGGAGCAGCAGGAGGGTGAGCGCGGGCCGCGGGAGCAGGGCCATCCGCGCAGCGCCGGGCTCCTCGGGTCCCCGGAGCCGGGCGAGCCCCCAAGGAGCCCCTGGGACGCCCTAAGCGCCGGCGCGGGCCCCGGGCTCTGCGGCTGCCGCCGGCTCCATGCCCACGCCTCCTTCCCGGCCGACCCGCGCAGCCCTCCGCGGCCTCCACAGAACCGCCTCTAGAAGGCGGTGCCGGGGCGGAGACGCGCCTCCTTCCCGGCCGACCCGCGCAGCCCTCCGCGGCCTCCACAGAACCGCCTCCAGAAGGCGGTGCCGGGGCGGAGACGCGCCCCCTGCGCGTCCGCTCACCTGGGTCCCGTCCCGGCGCGCTCGCGTCAGCGTGCGGCGCGGCGTCGGGAGCGTGCTCAGGGGCGGAGGCCTCCTGGCCTACGTGGTCGCCCGTGCGTTAGCGAGAACTACCCGAAGAGGGTCCTTAATAAAAATGATGCTCATGCCGGGCGGCGCCTGTGGCCCAGCGGGTAGGGCGCCGGCCCCATATACCGAGGGTGGTGGGTTCGAACCAGGCCCCAGCCAAACTGCAACAAAAAACTGGGCCTTTGGCTGGGCGCCTGTAGTCCCAGCTACTCGGAAGGCTGAGGCAAGAGAATCGCCCCGGAGTTGGAGGTTGCGGAGGTTGCTGTGAACTGTGACCCCATGGTACTGTACCGAGGGCGACAAAGTGAGACTGTCTCTAAAAAAAAAAATGTTCATGCCGGGGCCGTATCTCTGGGAATCCTGATTCCATTGGCCCGGGTGGCAGTGGGCGTTGGTATTGGGTGGCTCATGCCTGTAATCCTAGCACTCTGGGAGGCCTAGGCGGGTGGATTGCCCTGAGGTCAGAAGCTGCAGAGGCTCCAGACCTGCCTGAGCCAGAGCGAGACACTCCCCCCGCAACCCACCGCCACCCCCGTCTCTACAAAATAAAACCCATGTGTGTCGGGCGCCTGTAGTCCCAGCTACTTGGGAGGCTGAGGCAAGAGAATCGCCTAAGCCCAAGAGATGGAGCTTGCTGTGAGCTATGACGCCACAGAACTCTACCGAGGGCCACAAATCAATTAATTAATAAAAGAAAAGTATTTTTTAAAAAACCTTGAAACTAAAAGCTCTCTGGGGGAATGTGGAGAACCCCCAGAGGCCTCATTGGACCTGCCCGGCGCTGACAACTTTGGCGAAATTGTCGACAACTCCCGCGCCTCCTACCAGCGAGGGCTGCGAGGGGCCCAGCTGAGTTAAAAAGTGATTCTGCGGGAGACCTGGGCTGCGGCTGGCGCTCATCTCCCTGTCCTCGCCGGGTCCCCAAGACCCCTGGCCGCGGGTGGGGGACGGGGTCCGGGAGACGCTGTAGGTCTGAGCAGGTCTGAGCATCTCCTGGAGACTAAAGCCCAGGGCCAAGGCGGTGCCTGACTTCAACCAAGTGGAGCTAGGCACTGGTTTAGACTTCCTGGAAGAAAAAAAAATTGGAGGTAAAACTCTCAATTTTCTTTCTCTAGTAAGGAAGAAATTTTACTGCATTTGAATGTAGTTAACAGGAAATCAGAGAAATCTCTGTTTGCCACTCGAGATATTTTGTAACTTGGTAGTTCTTTGTATTCCCACCTCCCGTCCCCCTTCACTGTGCGGGATCCATAATAACGATTTTTACCAGAGCTATAGATAATCTGGTTATCTTAGTATCCCAGCCCTTTTCAAGAATTTTACGGTAAGATCCAGGACAACGTTGCAAGGGTTGGGAATAGGTCCATCCTTTCTGTAGAATTACCAATACTAGGTTGAGCATTTTGTATTTGTTACAAAATTCATGAGTTTATAATAAATGTTCATGTAGAGCTCATAAGAATTACATCCCTCTTTATTGAATGCTTAACTGTGTGCCAGGCGCTTCTCATGATCTCTCATGCTCAGAACTCCGTTTTACAGGGTTACAGCCTTTGGACCAGTTACAAACATTAGGCACCCCCCCCCCCACCTCCCTGCCGGCAGATGGTGTAGCTGTGCTCAGACTCGACTGGGTTAGTAGAGACCTGCCTGGGCTATAGTCTCTGCTCAGACCTTCATCCAGACACGTTGGACAATGAACAAGCAGTTCCTGCTATAGTAGAGGAAGGGGAGGAATGGTCCCTAGAAGGCATAATTATCCTGGTTTTCTTTTTTTTTTTTT